GTGTGAGTTAAATATTTATCTCTTGTGTACAGATGTGAATCCCGAAGTACCTCCTAATCTGCCAACTGTGTGTGAGTTAAATATTTATCTCTTGTGTACAGATGTAAATCTCGAAGTACCTCCTAATCTGCCAACTGTGTGTGAGTTAAATATTTATCTCTTGTGTACAGATGTTAATCTCGAAGTACCTCCTAATCTGCCAACTGTGTGTGAGTTAAATATTTATCTCTTGTGTACAGATGTAAATCTCGAAGTACTTCCTAATCTGCCTACTGTGTGTGTGAGTTAAATATTTTTCTCTTGTGTACAGATGTGAATCCCGAAGTACTTCCTAATCTGCCAACTGTGTGTGTGAGTTAAATATTTTTCTCTTGTGTACAGATGTGAATCTCGTACTTCCTAATCTGCCAACTGTGTGTATGAGTTAAATATTTTTCTCTTGTGTACAGATGTGAATCTCGAAGTACTTCCTAATCTGCCAACTGTGTGTGTGAGTTAAATATTTTTCTCTTGTGTACAGATGTGAATCTCGAAGTACCTCCTAATCTGCCTACTGTGTCAAGCAACTTGCAGGAAAGGAAGCCACGAAGTCAGTAAGTTTGACGTACATAGCAGGGTATTAAGTGTGCTTTAAATGTAGATCTAAGTTAATTTCGGTACTTTATATCCATTGTTACTGGTAAGTTTTTGTGAGAATCCATATTTTAAGTGTTTTATGTTCATCACCAGTAATACGTAGTACATTTTATGGTTTGTAACAGATGCCTTTACTTTTATCAGTAAGCACCAAAAATCACCTTTAATTTTGTACATAATGATACAAAAACAATTGAGAAATGGTATAACTTGTGTGTGTGTTTGTACAAACGTTGCTGATATGAATGACTGAGACAACTTTGTTACATATGTATATAAAAACTGTTTCTCTGATGATATATATATTCTTGACATATGTTAATTACCAGTTTTTCAAAGATACAGAACACCTGGGAAAACTAAGACACTGTAATGTTAAAAGCACAATTTATTTATTTATTTTCAAATAGCAAGTTAAACATCTTATCGGCTTCTTGGTCGGCATGGTTTCGCCAAATCTCCTGTTTATTTTTTTTCTTTAATCTGGTAGTTAGGGCAATAGACTCGCAATCTGCAGGTCGAGGGTTCTAATCGCCGTTACACTGAACATGCTTACCCTTTCTGCCATGGGGGCATTATAATGTGATGGTCAATCTCACTATTTATTGGTAAAAGAGTAGCCCAAGAGTTTACTGTGGATATTGACCTTACCTAGTCTACCACTACTAAATTAGGGACGGCTAGTGCAGATAGCCCTCGTGTAGTTTTGCATGACATTCCAAAACAAACGAATTTGGTTCCCACACTTAAGATGCGTAATCAAATTGCATGAAGTTTGGTACAAAATATCTAGATAATAATAATTATTTATTAATTATTGCTTTTATTAGAGTAAACAATGAGGGCTTAAGTGCAGGCAGAACCCTGAGGTCCCACTCTCTGAATGACAAGAAAAAAGGCTTAGAGCACAGCTATCCTCTTAGATGGACACCGGCTCGATTGCAAAATTCCGGAGCACCAGATAGTGATGGCGGTAAAACACCAGCCAGGAAAAAAAAGAGAAGGTCAGAGACACAAAATAGAGATTTTAAGCATCAGTCTGCTGAGGATAATGTTGCTGTTAGGGTGAAGAGATCATTTTCAGCTAGAACACAGTCGGCTAACTCTTCTATGGTAGCATCTACTACAAGAAGACGTGGAGGTTCTTTTAATGCTGGATCATCAGAAGTAACCAAGGTGTCCAAGTTGGTAGCTCCATCTACGCCCAATTGTTTGAAGTAAGTTCTACTTTGTTACCAAAAAAAAACTACCAGATGACAGTCTTAGTTCATTACCATGTTGTTTGAAAATAACTTTTTTATTTTGTTTTTGCTGTAGTCTATTTATAATTTCAAAAAAAAAAACGTTTAAATTTCTTTTCATTTGTGATTGTTTTACCATTCTCAGGCGGGCTCTAGACAATCTACAAAACAAATCAAAAAGTACAGTAACAACTGAAGATATGGAGTTATTAAAGATTGGTGAAATAAAAAAACGGTTGGCAGCTAATCGAAAGAAATATCGAAAGTTCCAGAGAAAGGCTCTTCAGGGCCCTAAACCTGTTGATCACAATACATCCAAATCTCAACCACACTGTACTGTGGTTGAACCTTTCAAGTTTGTTACTGATGATCGGATTAAAAGTCATTCTGCTACTGATACAGTGGTTAAAAAAGAAAAAGATTTTGTTTCAAGTCTCAGACGCAACTCGCCAAATCAACATCAAGTATGTATATTTATCTAGTTAAAAATATATATGTTTCTATCCAAAACCAGTTGATAACTGTAGTTACAATATTTAAATGACCAATATGGTCATTCTGTTTTGTTAATAGTGTTTTAAAACTATGTAGATGAGAAAACATAGCGTATGTGTCTATATTTGATTGTTTTTCAGGAGAAGCCTAGAGAAAGAATAACAAAGCCGGTTCCTTTCAAGTTTGGGGAAAACAGAAAGAGGGGTCGTGATGCAGCACCACAAGAAGAATACCACAGTTTAGCTGAACAAATAAAGGCCTTTCACTCGGCAACGCCTGAAAGATTTCACTGTTCTCGTCCAGGAACTAAGCCGAAATCTGGTACGTGGGGATAATGATTTTTGAATTTTATGTTGCTGCTTTCAGCCTGTCTAAAAAATTTTAAATGAATAATGGGTATATCCTTTTGTGTGTAATCTTAGGACGAAACGATATCTTATTGTCAGAGAACTTTCTCCATGGAAACCATGATAACCTTTAATCATAACTACACCCATATTTGATGTTTTGAATTGCATTCTTCACAGAATAATAATTCCACCTACTAGAAAAAGTCAGTATAGGGGGCCTAAGTAGATTTATAGAAGACATGTCTCGAATCCTGAAAAGGCTTGGGTTCTAAATTAGTGTGTGTGTGTTTTTTTTTTTGCTGTCTGACAGTTCACTATAACTTTGTCAAATAAGTAATTTCTCAACCATATATATGTTTTTGTTGGTAGATAAAAAGTTCATTATATTTCTCTGTTAAATCTCTTGAATTAATTTAATTCCTTGGAACATTAATGGTGTCCCTGTCGTGCAAACTAACTTGACGGTAAAAGTAGAAAATTAATAATTTAAAATCTAGGGTTATTTATCTAGTTGTAAAACAAATACGACCAGTAAATATCATTTAATGTTAAATAACTTACAGATAGAAGTTTTAAGAACAATTTTTATTACCAAGTGTTCTTAAGGGTTTCTATATTTTATTGAATATTCCTACGTAAGACCTGAAGCTAAAGTTAACGTATTGAAGACTTGTGTCTTTGTCATAAAATGTTAACTTTCAGGTTAATATAAACAGAAGCTAAAACAGGAACATTATTTTCAGTTTTTTGGAGTGTTATTGCTATTATTTAATAACTAGATAGTTATTTTATGAAACCAAATGTTATTAGCATTTCTGTTAAATTGACTGACTTTTCTGGGTCAAATTAAAATAATTTCTGTAATTAAACACTTGATTAAATCATTCGTAGAAATAAGTAAAGACAGCTTAAACTACAACAGAAATTGTTATTAAATAAGGTTGTATCGTTACCATCATGTAGCAGACATAAAATTAACAGTCTTGAACTGTTTAAATATTCAGTTTCGATGTATTCAGATATATATATATTCTTCCACTAGATGTTCAGGCCAAGCAGCTGGTCCCTACAATACCACACACTCCTAAGTTTTGTTCAACTTCACGACATCGTCCCGTTACGGCAATAAGCCAAGCTCAGAAGGAAGAGTTAGAAGTGGAAGAAATGAAGAAGTGAGTAAACGTGTGAAAGTATTTATAGCTCGTACGTAATTGTTAGAGTGGTGTTTCTTTAGCTAACTTTGTACACGTAGTTGAGTACGTAATTGT